GGCGCGGCAGAGCAGCCACCCCTCAGCCAATGGCGTAGCAAGGCAGCCACCCCAGTCCTGCCTAGCCCTGCTGCGGGACCGCTCGGGCGTGTAGGCGCCGTCTGCCTGTTCCACCTACGCGTGAGACAGCGCGAGTAGTGGAGTCCTCGCGCTTAAGCCCAGTGGCAGAGCCCGGCATAGGCAGACCTAGCAACTGTTCAGTGCCGGGCTTAGTCTAGGCCCCTCGATTTTGAGGTGGGGGAAAGTTTGCAGTTAGTCGCTTGTAGGGGAAGAGGGGAAATATTCCTGGACGTGCTGGCTCCCAATGAGGAAACCGGTAGCACCTGTTCAGTAGCTAGCACAGGCCCAATATGCAGGAATTGCGAGGTGTGTGTGCACATGCACTTTTTTTTTTGGTAAATGTGAACTGCAAGGGTGCGAACACTCCTCCCCCTCCCCCACCGTGGTCCCTCCAGTAAGCGTGCTCTGGAGAGGAGACTAAGCGGGGAGGGTTATGATAGGTATATATAATGATTTTCCGCAAATGCTTTTAACGGAAAAGTTTTCTGTTAAAAGCATTTGCGGAAAAGAGCGTCTAGATTGGCACGGGCGCTTTTCCACAAAAGCACTTTTTGCGGAAAAGCGTCCGTGCCAATCTAGACGCGCTTTTCTGCAAAAAAGCCCCCATCGCCATTTTCACAATGGGCTCGCACTTTTGCACAAAAAAGCCCCGATCGCCATTTTCACGATGGGCTTTTTTTGCGCAAAACTAATCTGAGCTGTCTACACTGGCCCCTTTGCACAAAAGCTTTGCGCAAAAGGACTTTTGCCCCAACGGGAGCAGCATATTATTTCCGCAAGAAGCACTGATTTCAGACAGTAGGAAGTCAGTGTTCTTGAGGAAATTCAAGCGGCCAGTGTAGACAGCTGGCTGGAAAAACTTGCCAGTCTAGACACAGCCAACAGGTACGGAGGAAGTGAGTAAGGAAAAGTTAATATACTTTTTCCCCACACCATAAGAACTAGAAGTCACCAAATGAAGTCAACAGGTGGCAGGTTTAAAACAAATGAAAAGAAAAAATGTAAAAAACAACAAATAGTCTAGTAGCACCTTAAAGATTCTGCGGATGTCCAGTCACCTGAAGAAGTGGGTTGTATCCACAAAAGCTCATGATACCATCTACATATTTTGTTAGTTTTTAAGGTGCTACTAGACTATTCGTTTTTAAAGTTTTTCTAGTACAGACTAACTCGGCTACTCCTCTGAAGCAAATGAGAGGAAGTTTTTCTTCATGTAGCACACTGTCAACCTGTGGAACTCCTTGCCAGAGGATGTGAAGATCAGGACTTTAACAGGGTTCAAAAATGAACTATATAAATTCATGGAGGTTAGGTCCATCAATACTTATTAGCCAGGATGGATAGGAATAGTATTCCTGAGTCTCTGTCAGAAAGCTGAGATGAGATATTGCTACTCTGTAAATAAGCTACAGAGGGAAATACCAGGGAGGGTGAAGAGCTATGTATGCTAAAGAATAAAGTGTGCACAAGAACAAATAGATATAAACTGGATATGAACAAATTTTGGCTGGAAATTAGAAAGTTTCTCACCATCAAAGGGGTGAGATTCATGCAATAAAATTTGTGAGGATAAAGAATTTAATTTCAAGGAAATGGACAAATTTCTGAGTGCAGTTATATGAGTGGATTGCTTGTGATGGTAGCAAGGAAGGCTTACCAGTTCTGAGTCTCACTTTGTTTATGTCCTAGCTCTCTAAATGCTCATGCTTCTGGTTTTCAGATAGCTACTTGCAGGGATCTGGAAGGGAATATTCTAAGCAGTGGTGTTTTTGTTTTAAAAATCTTCATCCAAGCATCAGGAATAGCCATGGCTGGAAATGGGATATTGGATAGGAGGACCAGGACTAGATTCCTTGCTCACATGCCCATCACATGTTAGTCAAGGTGAAATTTTCCCCCATCCGATTGGCAGTAACTTTAGAGGCCTTCCTTTGCAGTGAGTGGGGTGCAGGTCACTCACTGGGCTTATCTGGGTATATCTCATAATTTCCCTGCCATTATGAGGGTCTCAGGCACTACTGGTACTCCTCAGTCTCTTCTGTTATTTGCCTGTGCCACATAATAGTTTAGCCTCCTGTAATCTTAGTGTTTTCGTCTAACTTTGGCTTTAGGTTTACGGTGATGGTGTTCTGTGATATACAGGTTTGTTGAGATTAGTGGTTTTAAAACATATTTGATCAAGCCCCCCCCCTTTTGTGTCTGTAGTCATTTATGCCCCTCATATACTGCCACCCAGCAAGACATGCAAGCAAACTATTGGCCTCTGCCTTGTTTTTAGGGTCCCATTTGACATTCTGGTAGGCTTCTCCACATCAGTCTTGATTAATTCCATGAACAATTAGTTCCAAAGCTGTAATAATAAACAGGTGTGCTTCATAGAAGTATTGATACACAATATGTCTTTTTACTGACCTTGTCCTGAACAGGTCAATTTATGCCTTCTGACCCTATGTCTCTGATAACTCTTTGCTGATGATGGACAAAAGCAGACCTTCATACTTTGGACTTTTCAGGAAAAATAGGCAGCAAGACAGCTTGTCCATAGTGTTTCGTACATATGGCAAACCACAGGAATGAATAATTACAAGGCTGAAACAATGTGAACTGCAATGTACATATACTGCTTTGTGATAGTTCTCTTATGCTGCGCTGTACTCCAACATTATCCCTTGACATGTTTACTGCACCATCATAGCCTTGTCCTTATTTTCAATACATCCAGTCCTAGTTCGTTTAGAGTTTTGATAATACTATTACCAATATATTCACCAAATTATTTCCAAATGCAAAAAGGCCACGAAGTCTTCTTGAATATTCTTATTTTTGTCTTCAAAACGAACGCACAATGCCAGCTCTTCTTTGTTATGACTGAAGAAAGATGCAACCTTTATCTCTTCAGGTAGTTTTTGGCAAATAATATCATGATCAATTAAGTCTATTAGTTCTTTCTGAATTCTTGGTGATGTATACGGTAATTGGCATTGTGGTTATTCAAACCAATGCTGAATATATGATCATGCAGAATAGGGTCGTGTCTGGCTACCATTTGCAGTGCTGCTATGAAGTTGCCACAATTGCCTGCTACATCTGCATCTGAAGTTTCTGAACATTTTAAAGTCTATTCATCTTCATGATCTCCATGTAATACTATACAGGGTGTCCCCGCTATATATCCAAGATATCATTAAAAAAAAGTGGACGTATCGTGAAAGGACGTAAAATGGGGAGTTTTTTTTCCTGTGGCTGACTTCCGTTTGCGTGAATTGGTCTCTTTTTTTCACACGATGTAAGAGTGGGGAATGGGAGGACTTAAAATGGAACAATTCCCACAAGCATCAACAACACTAGTGTGGAACCAATGTATACTGGGGTGACTTATAGTGGGAATGCCCTGTACATTTCTGTGGGAATGCCACAGAAAAGGATGGCTTCAGACACAGACTTGTTAATGTGTCTGTTTCAAATTATGTTTTATATGATCGTAACGGTTATGGATGCTTTTTACTGGCTTCATAATAGACTGTTTTAGGTATACCAGCAATCATAGAATCATTATGGTATTTTGTTTGCTGATGATCTTTAGCCTCCTCATCAATTTTGTGCCATTTGATAATGGGAGTGTTGACAAATTGCCCACATTTACTTCTTTTATCTTCTGGAACCGTAGCTGCACAATAAAAACAAAAAGCAGCATCTAATGAGGTACTATATATTATCCACTTGTAGTCATGCAGATACCAGTACTTGAACTTGCGATTACATGTATGCAGAAACCTGGAAGGAAAAATGTAGTCCCTTGGCAGAATGTAGTGTTCAGTAAACAGGTGGTACTTTTGAGTTGGGAAGAATGAATTAACAACTTGGATTATCTCTTACATCATTGTGGCATTCAAAATAGTACCAGTACCATCCATGGAAAGACTATCTGCTTCTGTATTCATCACTCTTTACATCTCTAGTAAATGACTTTCTTCTTCTGCAGGACAATCATTGACTTCAAATCCTGATTCTACATGCTCTGATTGCTGATAGACTATAGCTGGTTCTTGATTTTCATCTGTATTCCTATCTGTCTGAACAACAACCTTCCTAGCCTTTACAAAAGCATTTATCTTTATGCAAGACTTGACTGCAGCTTTTTGTTTTCTTTCCTGCTGCTCTTTTCTCTTCATACCACATTTAAATCTGTTTTGAATAAAAACCAGCACAACGGGAATATACGGGACCAATTTTTAGAAAGGGCTTTTATTTTTAAATAATTTTCATTTACATTTAAAATGGTCCCTTATTTTCCACATATTCTAGTTGTGCCTAAAAACCCATTTCAAAAATACATACTAATTTAAACTAGAATAATATTAATACAAGGAATCAACCCAGTTTCAGTGAAATTTCCTTATACGGCCATTAAAAAGACATACTGTCAGTAATGGAAAGCTAACGCATAAGTTTAATCAGTTTGTCTACTGTTGTTTTATACTGGCATCCTAACTGGTAGCCATCTTTGTAATGAAAAGAGCAACAGTCTGCTACCACGCAGCGCTAATCCCCCAACACCTGTGGGATGCGCAGTAGGGCCCAGTTATAGTCTAATTATATCCTATATCTGGGGTGCCCAAGACATCGATCGTGGTCGACCAGTCACTTGCAAGTGGTCAACTGGTGGATCACAAAACAGAGGGGGGCTGGGGTAGAATAATCTCATCTGCCTTGGCAATGGCTTCAGTGGCCCAGCCTGAGCCATAGGAGGGGCTGGTGGTTGCCCTGCTCCTGTCACAGCAGCCCATCCTTGCCCCCAACCTTAGTTCGGGGAGGGGAGAAATCAGCCCCAGCTTTCCCCCAGGTGGCTGTAGCATGGAAGAAGGAGGCTCGGGCAGAGCCCCACTCCTGCCTTCCCCTAGCCAGCCCTGCCCCAGCCTTCCCCAGTTCAGCTGGAATTAGCCCCAGTTCACTGCCCTACCCCTACCCTCTGCCTTCTACCTGCTTCCTTTGCCTCATCCACACATAGCGAGGAGACAGTCTCCGTATCGTGCCACTCACCTAGGGGCACTGTCAAGTGACTGGACCCTTCCTCGGTGGCCGGTATAGGGGAGTGGCTGATATCTGACTCCCCCCTCATGGTTACTTGGGGGACCATAGAGGCTGCGTTTGCATCCTTTGCACCCCCCTTGCAAATGGACCTGTTGGGCTTTCTATTTCACAGGAAAATGAGCGTTTTGAAAATTGTTTTCATCCCAGACCAAAAGGAAACCCACTACTTTTGCAATTTCCTTCGCAATGGATATTCCAAAAATCTTTTATTTTTAAAACATTGCAAATGTCAGCTGTAATTTTTCAGTTGTATATTATTTAATATTATTTGGACATGAATTCATGATGTGTTGAGGTGTGCATAGTAACAGTAGTTCATAACTTGAATGTCAGCCTTCCTTACAATACAAGCAGGACCTGAAGAAGATCTCTGGGCTTGTCTACATTGGCAAATGCGAGTTTTTGTGACAAAACTCGGAGAGCATTCACAGTGCAGTGCGATAAACCCTTCTTTACCAATAAGCATTCACCCTATATGTGTGACAATGATTGAAAAGGATCGATAAAAACAAAACTGATGAAGTGGTCAGTGAGTTTATTTTGTGTGACACAACCCATACCAATGTTTCTGGCCCCTGTGGAAGCATGTAACATCCCTTGGTTTTATGGGAATGCCTTGTTCAGGATGAGTAGCAGGGTGAGGCAGGAAAATAACCCCAAAACACATAAATGTCAGCTCCCCTCATTGTCAAATTACTCAGAGCCTCCCTGATGTTGATGGCCACCCTATGAGCTCCTCTGATAGCCCAAATATCTGGCTGTTCAAATTATGTGCCTAGGCACTGTTCCTCAGTCTTCCACTCACAGGCAAACACTTCACCCTTATTCTTACACAAATTATGTAAACAACAGCATGTGGCCACCACCATGGGAATATGATCCTCCATAGGGTCCAGCCTGCCATAGAAACACCTCCATCTCCTTTCTCCCAAAAGCACATTCAACAACCATGCTGCATTGGCTTAGCCTGTTGTTACACCATGCATTACTGCTGTCCAGGTGTCCCGTTTAAGGCTTTATTAGCCAGGGCTGTAAGGTGTAAGCTGGAACACCAAGGATCACTATGGGCATTTTCACATCCCCCACTGTAATTTTGTGATAAAGAACAAAAGTCCCTGGCTGCAGCTTTCTATACGGGCTACTGTTCCTGAAGATGTGTTCATCATGCACCTTTCCAGTCCACCCTGCATTTATGTCTGTGAAGGACTATTGAGAAGTTCCTCTTCCAATTGATATACTCTATGGTAAGGTGGTTGGCACTATAATGGGAATATGTGTGCCATTGATTACACCACCAGGCTGTGTCTACACTGGCATGAATTTCCGGAAATGCTGAAAACGGAATACTATTCTGTTTTCAGTTTTTCCGGAAAAGGAGCGTCTACATTGGCAGGCTGCTTTTCCGGAAAAGCCCTTTTTCCGGTAAAGCGTCTGTGGCCAATGTAGACGAGCTTTTCTGGAAAAGAGCCCCTACTTCAAAGTAGGAATAAGAGATCCTCTGGAATAGGGCTTTATTCCAGAGGATCGGGCCAGTCTAGACACTTTTTTCCGGCTTTTTCCGGCTTTTTCCCAAGCCGGAAAAAAGCAGCGGACATCTTTATTTAAATCCCGCGGGGGATATTTAAATCCCCCGCGGATTTCCCTGTTCTTAAGTTGAAAATTAGCATGCCCCTTTCGGAAAAGGGGCCAGTGTAGATGTAGCCAGCCAGTTTGGAAAGCCCATTTCTGCAAAGCCAGCCACTACATAATCCACGTTTCCCAGAGACACAGTCCTACACAGCTTGCATAAATGGTGCCTGAACGGTCGACTATCCTACTCCACACTGGTTTGCAACTGAACAGTAGCAATTGGGAGTTGCCAGCTTCCACAAAGCAATTGCAACACACTTCTCTATTAAGAGAGCAGCTCTCATTTGGGTGTCCTTGTGCCACAGTTCAGGGGCCAGCACAGAATCCAGCTCCTGGAAGTTTGCTTTATGGATCCCTAAAGTACTATAGCCACTGCTCTTCATTCCACACCTGCATGACAGTGTGATGGTTTCCTTAGCCTAAAAGTGACATGCTACTGTGCACCGCTGTTCTGTGATGACTAAACGCAATGACAAGCTGCTGTTGTTCGTGTCACTCAAACTGTCGTCTGTATCCAAATCTTCCTCTGACACTAAGTTCAAAAGTAGCTCTGCTGTAGTATGTGATGTCTAAATCACATTGAACACCGCATAGGACAGCAGTCTGGAACCTATGATTTCTCACAGCAGATGCTGGATTGCACAGCAAGGGCTGTCAGTTTCAAATGGTGTGAAGTAAGCCAGAAGTTCCAGGAAGGCTGTGAAGCAAAGAGGTGGCTGATGGGATGTTTTTCACATTCCCAAAATGTCTTGTACTCCATTGTACATTCCTAGAGTGCCTAGCATCTGAAGGTGATGCCAGGCACTGTGAGATGCCTATGCACATTACTTTGCTCTTTCTATTGATGGGGGAGCTAGCAATGTGGCCATAATATGTTGACAGCGGGTGGCAATGTAAACATGATTTGGCAACTTCCATTTTGGTGACTTTTGAATGTTGACATTACTTCCATTGCCAAAACTTTCCAGTGTAAACATAGCCTCTGAATATCTCAGAAGCTTTCACCACAGAAGTTGGTCCAATAATACACTGATGCTCATCCAAGGATATCTGTACCTTTGGGGCTATGTGGAGACCCTGAGAGGTCAATGACCTAGTCCCCAGTCAAGCTCATGGCCCTCTGCCTTCTGCCCCCCTTTCTACCTCCCATTCTCCACAGGAGATCAAAGCACCTCCCCCCATAGCTCCTGACCACAGCACTGGATGGCGGAAGGGGGCGGGGCCTGCCCCAAGCCACTGTGCACTGCAGTTTCAGTGTCCACAGCCCTTAGGCAGTGTGGCCACAGAGCCTCCAGCTCTGGTACTGCAGGCTGCTGGGCAGAGTGCCACTCCATCACCTGCCCTAGAGCTCTAGGTGGTCCCCAAACCCAATGGCTGAGCAGCGAGACAGTGTGGTCACTGCGCCCCAAGCTCCAGAGGACCCCACTACTGGTGGTTGGGCAGCCAGCCCTGAAGCACTAGGCTGGCAGCATGGTCCAGCATCAGTCACCAGACAGCCAGGAGGCCCTGTGGAGAGGCACACTGACCTGGGGGCAAGGTCATGGTAGGCTGTTTGAAGAGGCACAGCCTCCCCCTTTCTATGATACCCACTGCCCACGGCAGAGGTCTGCCAGGGGACACATTAATTCATCTAGATATTTACTTAATTTTACAACAGGCTAATTAAAATTACTAACAAAGTTAGTACAAAGTAAAATGTCATACAATGAGTTGTTTATACTGCTCTATATATG